AATATAAAACATCTTTTGGAGTATGATTTCATAAAATGATTCTTAGTGATAAACGAATATTCGTTAGATTTTGATCTCTAGTCCTATCCATTACTCTAACACTTACTTATTTATCAAACTTCTCCACGAGCTGAATTTTATAGCACTGTTCTATATTGATATAAAATTATACTGCCATCAAACTTTTATGATAGAAGGTCACGTCACTATAATATTGCAATTGTGACATTTCAAATTACAGTATGTTTTTTCCATACATCAAAAATCATGTTATATTTCTACTTTAAAAATATCCTCAATAACATTTGAAAAATCTAATATCCTTCATGTTAATGTAACCAGTTTACCTGAAACCTAACATGGGCGAGTGTGGAGCATTTCCTCATTATTCCCCGGTAAATATTTTGTACAACTTCATTTTACTTACTAACATAAAAATTTTTGCAGTATGGTACTAGAAAACCATGCAAGTAAGTATTGCCTTCAGTTATCGTAATATAACAACATCTGGCAGACAGAAATCCAAGTTATTGAGATATTGCGTTTACGTAATCGCCTTAATCTGTATGAACCAATCCAAAAAGTAATGACAGCGGCATTGGCATATTAAACTCAGTTGTACCTAGCACGTGTAGTTCGAAAATTGTAGGTTTTACCATTTATAGTATAATTCAATAGAGTAATCGTAAGTCATACGTAACACTGCATGCTGTATAAAAAAGTTCTCTAAATCTCTAACCGTTTCTGAGCGGTGGTCCACCAAAAAACTCGAGGTAGTTACAGTCTCTATGTGTGGACTGAGAATAAGATGGATGGTCTAAGATGTCTTTAAAGCATGCTATACGACGATTTATGATTTTTATTGGAAGCCTATCTCTAACCATTTCCGAGCGGTGAAAAAAAACTCGAGGTAGCTACAGCATCTATGCATGGAATGAGAATAAAATGGATGGTCTGAAATGTCTTTAAAGCATGCTATACGATGATATATGACCTTTTCAGAAGTCTATCTCCAACAGTTTCTCAACGTTAGTCCACCAAAAAACTCGAGGTAGCTATACCTTCTATGCGTGGAGTGAGAATTAAATGGATTTACTTTCTTCTTTGAAGTTACTAACTAAACTAAAGTGGTTGCTGACAGAACGCCTACTTTTACTCACGCCACATGTTATAGGGAATATCGTAAACATAGAAAAGAGATGTCAGGTAGGTATTGCAGCGAACACTAATAAAGAAAAATAAATAACGTTACACCAATTAATATGTAACAGAAAGAGATACAGACAAGTAGAATTTGAACATGTTGCCAGCATCGGANCCTCCTCGATCAGTTTTTTGCCAGCAAAGACCAAAAATTTTATGAGCGTGGAATTATGCTGCTACCAGAAAGATGGCAAAAGGTGTTGGACCAGAACGGTCAAGATATAATTTAATAAAGTATTTGTTTATTATACGAAAACTGTCTTTCATTTCCACAAAAAAAAAAAACGAAATGACTTTCCGAACAACCCTATAAAACTGCTGATGTACCCCCTTTCTTTATTATGTTTTTTATGACTTCTAATGAAGTGGTATCCCATCCCGGTAAGGGTTAGAATTAGTGTCTTTTCCGGTTCAGAAACTGCAACATTGAATTGCAGTTCTATCTTGTTAGTTTTGGTTGAGCAAGTATTTGGTTTTTGTGGATACATTAGTGATTTGTGGGTTATTTATCTTGATGAGAAATCGTCGTCTTCATCATCAGCATTGTTTGTCGTGCTTTGTTGCTGTACATTACCCAAAGAACAATCAGAAGAGTTAAAATTTGTTGATTCCTCTACTGTGCTAGTGCTAGGCTCTGCAATTTCAATATTGCTTTTTTCCACACTATTTCTTGATTATATTTAAAAAATTCTTTTGTACAGACAATTCTTTAAGATAATTTACATTTGAAGTGTCTCTTTGTTGTTCGCCCTCGAAATTGGAGTAAGTAACCTCCATAGATCTTTTTGAACTTTAATCTCTCTCAACCCATTTTTCATCATAATTTTGATCAACAATTACTACTACATGAAGGAAGACAACGTCCGAAAAGAATGCTGCAAACCCTTACTTTCCTCCGACCATTTTTCAATATAATTTTGATCAACTTTACTACATGGAGGTTCTTTAATTTGTTGCTCTAAAATTTTTCGAAAACGGCACCAAAACTCGACCCGTTCATGCATATGTAGGAACACTCGGTATACCAAGAAAACATTTATTGTTGTGTATCAATTAAGCGTCTACATTTGTGCTGACTTAGTTAGGTCGCGACACTCTGCGACTAACTAGGTCAACGGCAAATACACACACAAATGTAATGTGCTGAAATGTTCTTTGCCATTTAAACCATGTAAATAAATTTTGTATAAATACTCTGTAAATATTCGANAGTCAGAGACATATTAGAGGCAGAAACAGGAGTTAGGAGGGGTAGAGGTAGACCTAGATTAGATTACTGTTCGTAATTAGTTAAGGATGTGGGTTGTTCTAGTTTTAGGGAAATGCGAAGTTTAGCTCAGAATAGGAAAGAGTGGAGGTACGTGCCAAACCAGTTTTAGAACTGACGACCTTATAATGATGATGACAGACTTCAACAGTCAGATGCAGCATAGCATGGATTAGCAACCGGGACGGTTCTCTAATGAACACTCCGCAAAATCAAACTACAAGTACTAAACGTGCTTACACGATATGATTTTGCTAAAATATTCAATTACACTGTCAAAGTTTGCTTTCCATTCCTTTTCAATGGACAAAATTGAAAGATCGATTAATCGCGCTTGACTCATTGTGAATCTTAAGTACGATTTTATTAACGTTTATTTTGAAAAGCTTCTTTTGCGTAAGCCACCAATACGCAAATACATAGTTAAAAAAAATCTAGTTTCAGCACTAGTTTTGTAACAGACACAGAGAGAAGAAAAATTAATATCGTATTACTATTATAATACATGCTAATAAAGTATTTTCTCTGACTTGCCATGTTCACAGTTTGAAAGTTTGTGAGGAACTAAGAACATGATAACGTATAGATAAAGCTTAACAACCTAACGACAGTTAAGCCACAGTATAAAGATTCTATACAGTAGGTTCACTTTTGATCTGCCTAAAATGCCGACACTTTTTGCAGACCATCATAAATTAACTCTATATGCGCTGAACTTCATATATGAGGACGATTCAAGCGTCAGCAGGAGAGGGATGTATGGGCGTACCTGGGAAGTGAACCTCCTGTATAGAATCTTTGTACTGTGGTCTAACAGCCAAGGTAAACTCGTGCAAGGTAATCACAACAAACAAAAGAACGGATTCATTAGAATCTTCGGTACGTATGACGCCGACAGTCNTCATACATTTTTTTATAATTTGTTCCACATCTGCTGTCTGGTATGTTTATTTCACTAAGTTAAAAAATTACAGTCGACTCTCGTTAATTCAAACCTGCGATAATTCGAAACTTTCTATACTTCAAAGTTATCACGAGTTCCCTACAAAATCTCTTTATATTTCGAACTAAATCAATACATTTTTATGCACTTGGTAATTCAAACGAAAAAAAATCATTGCTACGTAACAAAACGACGCCTTAATTCGAACTCATCGGCGTCAAACATTCGACAATTCAAAATTGCAGAGAGAAAGAGACAGAAAGATTGTAAGTACATTTTGAGGCAAGTTCGAACTTGTATCATCGTATCATCGAGCCTTTTTTTTTTTTTGGTAGAATTAGGAGAAAATTTATGCTGTTCAAACTGCTGGAGTACGGAAAAGGACTACTAAAGGTGAATTTCCTCGTCTGGAAGAAAGCCTGGTTATTTGGCTAAGACTGTGTAGAGGACAAAAAATATCTATTAGCGGAAACATCGAACAAAATAATTCGAAGTGGTCTGTATTCTGTCGAAACTGCCAGACGCGAATCGCGATTTCGATCTTTTTGGATCTCATCAGCGCATCCCAGGCAGCTCGGACAGAACACAGACCAACCTTTACCTGCTGTCTTAACAGCGCGTTTTAGAAAATACCACAAATGGCGCGGTTCCCTTAGGAATGGACCGTTTTCCCTGAATTTCATGTTCTAAATTTGTGTTTCGCCTAGAATATTACAGTCCAAAGTTATTTCGAGGAGTTGTTCAGGATTAAGGGTGTAGTCGTCTGAAGAAAAGAAAATTTCCTTTGTATTTTCATATTGATCTTCTTTCAGCGGTACATAGATGCTATCCCGCTGGTTAAACTAGTTGTTTGCTCTTTTTATAGGGTTCTCGGCGATCTATCGTATAACTCCGTAGTTTACCGCTATTTTTCAGGTACACCATTTTATTGGAAAAATCAATTACAGCATTGTTTTTTCATAAAAAATCTGTAGCGAATATTATCGGCTTCCATAAATTATCTACTACTAAGGCTGAAATATACCCTTGTAAATTACCTAATTTAATTGGTAATGTCTGTTGTACCTAAAGGTTGTATTTTGTTGCCTCCAGCTGTTACCAAATTAAATGTATTATTTGTATTATTATGTGGAGTTATTTTATTTTCTTATGATTTATCAACTACACATTTACTAAACCCTGTATCTAATGAAATATTGTAATGTTCGTGGGTTTAACAAAATTAACATTTAAGACTGCTAACAACAAAACTATTTATTTACACTAATTATTAATATATCACTATTCACTGCGGTATTTATTTCACTGCTATCGCTGTCAATTTAATTTAATTTTGAGATATTGTGTAATATTGATGTTATATGCTTAACAAATAAAAAAATTAATAGTTGCTAGAAGATTAGATTACTGTCCGCAAATAATTAAGGATGTCGGTTGTTCTAGTTTTAGGGAAATGCGAACATTAGCTCAGGAGTGGAGGTGCGTGTCGAACCAGTCTCAGGACTGACGGCCTTATGATGATAATGAGCTAGAATTTTATTACTTTTAAGGGTTAAAGTGTCATGAAAGGAACGTCAATTTGTCAGATATCCTTTTATTTAATTCAAAAATTGTGTATATGTTCTTATTACTTTAACAAGTTGCAGTTTTATTCATGTTCCTTATGAGTTGTTTGGCTATTGTTTCTTCTGTACATCTATGACGTAGCACTTTTTTTGCATCATTTTCCAACCATTCAAGCAGTTTATCTACTTCGTCGTCGGTTACGATTTTAGATATTCGCAGTGACGATTTTACCTCGCTTTTTACAAGTTTGAAGAATTCTTCTATGTCTTGATCGGTTAATTCTTTATATATTCTCCTTGGTTTTTTGGAAGACTTGGCTTTAACCAATTTCGCATTTTCTGATTCGTGATGTCCTTCGTGACCTACAATTTGCATAAAAATTGAGAGCTAATACAAAAATAAATCAACAAAAAGTTGTACGTTTCTGATAGTAATGATTGAAAAAATGTACGTAAACTCATTCCACATATTTTGATAACTTTCAAGCACACATCCCGTACAACTATATTAAAAAGCAAATATTAGGTAAGGTATGAAGAGTGTTTAGGATCATCCTACTTATATTCACTGGAACAGAAAAGTTATTGAGAAAAATTTCTTTTTGAAAAATTTTCATTTACATACGACATGATAATGATTGTTATTTCTTGAGTAATCGAATTGATCTTCATTCAAATCGACTACTAATTGTTAATCTACCGCTATTCGCTTCAAGCATATAAGCCTATTTAAAATCACTAATTTTATTGAACAAGCAGAAGATGCAACTTAGGGTATGTAATCGTCCTTTATTAATTTATATTTTTTATACATTTTTAAAACTTTCCCTGAGTGGAAATTCCTTGTACATCGCACATTACCCATAATAGTTACCTCACTTACCTAATATTTCGTTGGCGTCCCGATGTTTAATCATGGAAAGCTTAGTCATTCCTGGATTCTCTACCCAGTCACTTCCAGTGGTGAAAGAAAACAAGAACAAGATTGCACCAAAAATAAAGCAAATCTAAAATTGTAATTCTATAAATTCTATATATTATTACACATGACACAATAAAGATTAAACAAATTCAAGTTAAATACTTGTTGAAAAATGTTTGTTAAGCATATAAATTGCAGGTAGTCATTGTTTAGAAATAGAAACAGGTTTAAAGTGTGTTAAAAATATTACAAATTATATTTACCACATTCCTCATCATGAATAATTCTTGAATATTTGCAAAAATCTGATTTTCTGGAACCTTGGATAGGCAATCCTTTCATTGTGACTTAAGTTACAATATTTATAACATTCTTAACGGTATTAAAGTAATAAATTATTCTTGATTTTGACATAATTTATATACTATTGGATATTTATAATCGTTTTACAGTGGTTTTGTTTTTAATAAGAATGATGTGCCCAATTGGAGTTGTTATTCATGGGCCTACAATATTACACAGCATAGATCGTTAATTGGTCGCGCAAGTTACAGCGTCATACATGTATACATACAGGGTGTCTTACGGATACCACCCATTAGATTATTTCGGAAACTACTTCGATTCTAATTATGAAAATTTGGACAATAGTGCTATCGGGTATTCCCACCTCAATTAAAATAATTTATGTAGCACTTCCGGAAGTTGCAATAGGAAGTTCTCGAATATCTGCTTGTGACTTTTAACAATCTGCTTAGCTTGAAAGCACACTGTGTTTTGGTCAACAGGACAATTTTTAAGCTTTACTTTGTCGGTTTTTTGTTGAAAATAATGAAAAGAAATAATAGTCCGACACAAATAAAAGTAGTATAATTTGCGTCACACTAATACACCAGACAGAACACATAAAACGAATTATAAATGAAGATCACAACACAAAATTAAAACAAACAATAAATATAAATAAATAGTCAATAGCATGTATAACAGAAAGAAAGATCAAGACTTACTACCCTCACATGATACAAAATTTCCATTTATATATTGTACTTGCTGCAATTCTCGGTACCCTTAACGACGATCGTTGTATTGTTACTGCTTTAGATTTATAATAATTTTGGTAGCATAAAGGTACATTCTCAGGATTTGGTTATGAACTAGCCGCTACAACTTGATTATCACACCATAATGGTAACATTATTTCCATCTGAGCGATAATACCGTGAAGTTTACGAATAATGCTTGAATTCAAAGATTGAGAGGCTTTCGCAGCTTCCGCAATTTTTTCTTTACTTTTTATAACCGTTCGGACTGTTGATTCCGGTAGGTCAAATTCCTTTGCCAATTCACAAATTTTTATTTTCGATTCAAAACCTTTGATAATATTTAGTTTTCACTCCAAATATAGTGTTTTTCGCTTCTTGTTAGGTTCAAATAACTCATTTTTTGGTCTTTTGGATGACATAATTAATGATAAATCAATAATGTGCACTGCGTACTTAAAATAATTCCACACAGAACTCGTTCGAATTTGTCGTAAACCGAACACGCCGCTGCGCACGGTGATCAAAAAGAAAAACAGCGTAAAACGGGGTAGCGTAAGTCGGGGTATTACTGCACTCAATACTTTTTTCTAAATAGCAAAATATTGGTTTTGATTTTTTAGGAAGTTTCATTGAACTCAAAAACTAAAAATCTCTTT